ATTTTGATCATTTAAATTGTTATATTGTCGGATTTAATTAGTTTGCCTATCAGTTATGATGAATGTAAAGGCGATGCTTTGTTATATTTTCTTACGCTGAATGGTTCACTGAACAGTATGTCGCATGTATGTATTAAAATATTTTTAAACTTCAGGATGATCTATGTGTCAGAGTTTGGAACGAAGAAGCTACTTGGTTATCATAGATCTGAGGACAATCTCCTGACAAAAGCTTGGGTACTGCTTTAAAAACTTGTATCAAGACATCATTTATATTAAGTTTACTACATGTTTAACTGCCAAATAATTCCCCCTTAGAAAGGATAAATTTAATCTTACACCCGTGCCGCTTTTCCGACTCCGTAAAATGGTATTGCACGGCCTTACATATCTTTTGGCGTAACGTCATTTGCTTTATACAAACATAGTGTAAAGAAGCTCGAAATGTTAGACTTTCACTTTCAATGAAAATCGATTCTTTTTCACTTTAAACAACCTTTATTTGGGGTACCGTATTTGATAAAATAGAATATTATATTTGTGTAGGTTCATTACTGAAAGACTCGCATAATATAATGTTTTCAATAAATTCAGAATTGAACTTTTACTCATTCAATATTCTCTATTACTCAAACATCATGAAAATAATATGATAAAAAAAGTTAGTGAATAATATTGCAGATGTCGACAATTACTTGCTTTTTACTGTACAAACTAATTCCAACAGCTGTTAATTTACCAAAATGTCTCACTGAAATAGAAAGTTATGATATAAAAATAAATTAGATTTACTAAAATTATCGTATAAGAATTTGATGCATTGTTGCATTGAACGCGTATGTGACACAAGACGTGCTATACATTTGTATAGGGCATGAAAAAAAGAGAGGTAAATACACGGCTGAGTAGGGCCGGAGGATGATAATTGGCCCGCTTATTGAAAAGCTTTAGCTCAACGTAAGCGCAGACACAGAGCTGCTTCACATAATGAATAATAAAATCAAGTCTTCCTTACTAAAATATACTTTCCATGTTATGTTAACCTTAATAATGAGGCTACATGTGTCATTTTCTAATTGCTTATGTTCAGAGAGCCAAATATGATTATGACTTTTGTTTGCATGTTTGTCGTATCGGGCGGCCTTTAACATTCTTTTTCATTTCTTATATATGACCGCCTCCGTGGTCGAGGGGTTAGATTCGATGACTTCTAATCCGGTTACCTCTCTGACGTGGGTTCGATCCCCGGAAGATGCTTTAGTAGTTTAGCGCGAAGGAAGGTAGTCTAGTACTGGTGTAACTCTCTAGGAACGATGGTTAGGAAAATACCCGCCTATATGACTGAAATACTGTTGGAAAAAGGCGTAAAATGAAACAAACAAACAAACAAAAAATTTTATTTATAACTTATGTAAAATGCTTATAAATGAGTGCATTTTAGGGGCTTGATCTTAGCTTTATTTTATAAGATATACTTTCTACATTACATTTTCAAACGATAATTGTTTAGCGTAAATTCCTGCTGCAATTGTGTTCTCCATAATGTCAAGTTATTGTATATTGTGTTCTATTAAGTATATTCGGGATAAGAGCTTAGTGTAAGTTAATTTGTTCTTTTGAGTACATTTCTGATAAGATATTAACTTTACTTGATATCATTGGACTTGCTCGTAGAAAATTTTTAATGTGGATTACATAGAATGGCAGGTTGATATAACTTGTTTTTAGTCGTATGATGTAGATACAAAGGCTGACAACATTGAGGTAGATCAAGATACAGGTGATTTATGGATCGGTTGTCATCCATTAGCATTTAGGATTTTGGACTCGATGAGCAGTGGATTTGGACTGACGCTGCCGTCCCAGGTATTCGTTTCATGAGTACACTTATTTTAGATCAAGAGTGAACTTACCCATCATTTTAAGGACCTTTTTAATATATATCAAAGATTCTTTAAAAAATTGTTTACTTGACAGTCAGTATCCTATTAAACTACTTGTTCATACTGAGGCACGTTGGTTATGTGTTTTCAACTCACCGAATGCTTATTCAGTAAAGATAACTGAATCTATAAAGAAAGCGAAAAACGGAAAATTTGAAAACGTTGTGAAAAGTTTGTTCATGTACGGTAATGACAGCTAAACGTTTTTCACTATGAAAATGAAAATGCTGATACAGAATGTTAATGAAGGTTATTGTCCCTTTTCGAAATATCAAAATAACTGGTTTATGCTAAAGAGAAAATTTTACATCAATACAATACCGCAGTTATCAATAAACAACTTTAATATAATAATAATATTTTAAACAGTGTGGTGATTTGTGTCTTTCTGCTTTCCATTTTAACACCTGCCTAATTTTGTTTTTCGACATTGTGTCGTTTCGCATTTTGATAGATCGATATTACTTCAGGTATTGCGTTTCAAAATGGAAGACAACATGGTGTCGTCAGTAGAGGAGATCTATGCGGACGATGGATCAGAATTAAATGGTTCAGCAGCGGCAACATATATAAAAGGCAAACTAGTGATTGGATCTGTCACGGCTGAGACTGTCGTTTGCGAGGTGAACTATCTGTCACCTTCACTTCCTTCAAATTAATAGGCATTAATTATTCAATGTAAAGACACTCAATGATATAATGATCTTATCAGAACATTTGTGTTTTATACAGAAATTAACATTGAAATAAATAAGAAATATAGTGACAGTTTTTTTCTGCTTATACATTAGAACTTTGCCTTCATATCAGAGTATGGTTCTGTGTTTCTGTGCTATTTGTCCAATGATTGACTTGTTTAGAGGATTTTTTTTATTTTATCAAGTGAACATAAGGAATGTTAATTTCAATGCTTCAATATATATAGCAGTTTTGTGCTCATTTTAAACAAACACACTATTCTTATGGTGAGTATTGTGAAATTCATCTAGAATCAGACATATTATCGTGACATTGAAAAAGCCTTTTCTTATATTGTTTTAGTCGTAATGTTCTGCATCAAAAATAGAACAGGTATGCTTTTAAGTAGGACCATGGTTTACTAAATTTGAAGAGAACACATTTACAAGAAGAAAAGATATGAAGTCTAGTGTTTTTCAAATTTTATTTTTGGAATTTAGTTCTAACTGAAGAACGAGTATTTTGATAAAAAATGTACATACGAAATAATACGATACAAATTTACAAACAAAGATATAAAAAGGTGAGGTATTAAATTTCAACGATAACGATACCCCCAATAACCACAATACAGTGAATATGTAGGTGATACTTCCGATACGTGTATCACTCTGATTTTCTCATTGTTATATAAATGTTTATCCGGAACCCCTTTGATATTACGGACAATTTTTTATCCCGAATCAACAGATTTACTATTTACATTTGAAAATCTTGAAAAAGTGCGATCCCTTAGAAGCATAAATCACAACAAAATTACATGAACATTGCAGACTCGGTTTTATTGTGTTTGTAAATGAGAGATAATGAAAAAGTGCGAAATCCCTAACGCCTCCAAGGCCTAGCGCTCGCTTGAGCGGTACTGAATTGTTAACACTTAAAAGTGCTGGAATCAATGATCCCGAAGAACCAGAAAATAGAACAACACGGTACACAAAGTAGTAGACACATTTTATATCAATCATTATATTTTTGTGGAAGAGAACACATTTTTCAGATCAAGTTTACAGTATATTTCAAATATTTCACGTTCGTTTAGACATATCTGTCTTATTATTTACATAATTATCTCGAATTTTTAGAGATTCGACAAATGACCGATTGATATCTTGTGCCTGAAGCCGATGTTAAATTGACAACATAAACATTACACATATCTATCGGAGAAAATCAAGGTTGTTTTCTAATTCCTGATGTTTTTGGTTTTATAGGCTAGCTCTTTTTATAAACATGCCTTACATCTTGTTGTAGTTCAAATGCTTTCAATAGCAATTCACTAGAAGAATGCAATTTATAGTTAAATATAGTATAGAACTATAGGATTAAAATTACCGGTCTTAACTATTTGATTATGGCGAATTCCGTCTTTAGAAGAAAACATACATATAAAAGAGTCGCGTTCAAAAACTATAACAGTATGGGTTTTTTTTTCTTTCTTCTTTTTCGTGAACGATACATTTTATAACATACTGAACAAAGTATGCAATACAGAAACAGAAATGAATTCTTAAAAAAATCCAAATGATATTAAATAGTTCAACTAAAAAGTTACAGTTCCTTTACGTTACATCACTCTCTAATGACATTTTTGCACACGATAAGTTTAACTTTGATACCTCACACGCTCTAGGAGTTAGGGTTCACATAAAAATTAAATAAATAAAGCAGTAAAATGTAATTAGTTACAGTTCCACTGCACTGCTCTGCATTTTTACTCAGTGAGGAGTAGCCGCATACATGTATAAGGTTTTATGTTAATGATGTTTATCTAAAGTAGCTTAAGTCTTAAGTTCCAATCAAGGTGTGAAGGGTTGACGGAAAGCCAGATGTTCTAACGAGACATCACTTATGTAGCTACTCAAAAGCTTTCACCATTGTTCCTCCAGCAACATAAAACAAAACAAACAAAAAAACGCATGAAAGCTTACGGAATGGGAATGAATGGCATCAAAAGATGAAGTACAAGTATTTATTGTTTGTTCTTGTAGCCACCTAAGTATTCTCTTATACATGCAGGCAGACAGACGGACAAATCCAAATCTATATTCACACGCATTTTACGACGAAACTCAAACATAAGTTATCGAATTAATTTAGTTTAACTTTTAAATATTTTATTCTATTAATAAATCTACATTAAATTATTTTGACCAATAGCAATGGCTGAAACTGATATTAGACTTCTTGTTTTCTATATCTGACAAATAAGATAAACATGCATCATTAATATCTTATAGTAAGTATTTCGATGTAACTTTATTGTAAATAATATTTGACGCAAAGAAGGTTGTTTATGTTAGTTTATGCACATCTAGTTGATAAAACGAAAACTGCACAATTTCATAGATTTGTTTTTATTACTCGTTAGAGCAATATGTGTGGTATCAATGTGGAACGCTCTCGCTTTTGAGAAACGCCGAGATATAGGTAGTTAATCAAGTGATAATCTCCATAAAAAACATGCCAAGAAGCAAGGAATATTTACAATTTAAATGATATAGCCCTCCATGATAGTGAAACTATCGCGCTGAAATAATTATCAAAAACTAGAAGTGGAACGATTTTCGTATGAGGATAAAAATTTAAATATGTGGGGCAGCATTTTTGCAGTTGCGTCTTTAGGTGCTTTGTCTATGTTCATAATTCAATACAGGTTTGTACTTTCAATAACTCTTATTTTCTTTGACGGCATGTTATAGCTTAGAAATCAATATTTGCTTTATTCCTTAGAAAGTTCAAACATATGTGTTCAGTAATGTTTTTATAATAAATTTTGAGCGTCTTAGATGTTAAATAAACAACGGCAGAAAAACAGTGTTGAATGTACAGTAATGTGTTGTAGAGGTAGGGAAAATTTAAACAAAGTAAAATTTTGATTTCCATACAAAATGTTAACTCTCTTTACTTAAACCAATTACCAAAGAGCAAAAGAAGCGAGTAAATCTATATACTCGTAGCCAATGAGTTTTTTCTTTGGAAGCTGTTAAAAGATATAAAAAAAATAAAAAAAAGGTTTTGATAAATAGAAATGATACCATTTCATAGGCTTAATGGACCTTTTATTTGTAAAAAGTATATATTCATATAAGAAAAGGATCGGAAGAAATATACAAACGTATCGTATCGTTTACAATTTTAAAATGATTGAAGAGCGACCCTTAAACATACATATATAAAGAAATAACGTTACAATGTTTTCAGCTTTTGTAAGGTAACCCAGATGCAAAAACAATGTTAATAACAGATTTGAGTTTCTTGAACGACTATGAAAATTCCGAAAATTCCCTACCTTAAAATAGCGGGTGATCAAATATAACCAATAAGTTGTTGAATACTCAGTCTGATAAAAATGCATTAGTTCGTGATTCCATTCTTGTCCGACGCAGAATACGCACGCGCGAAATGGTACTTCCGTATCTATTAACATTTCCCATCGATTAATTCAAAATGCTTATATAATTGTTTACCAATCATAAAATGTATTATTTTTTATTCACTAACTATTTTTTTTTCTTTTCTTTTATGTTACAGCTATAACATTTTGGCACTTTTGGCAATGAACTCGTACGCGGAATATTACTTCTTTTGTCATAGGAAAATGTCTCATGTCGTTTTATAGTGTACAATGTAGCACGTAAACAGCCAGAATATGTAACAAAAAGTAAAGAAGATAAAATAAGACAAGGCTATAGCAATTAGGCTGGAGATAGATCCAATAACTCGCTTTGAAGTCTTCCCATACCCGGGCGGGCGATGGACTTTTATCTACAAAAATACGTTCGGTCATACATGTATGTTCCGTCTACATTAATTGCCACCCACAAAATCTCAGAGAGCATTTTAATTAGATACAAAAGTAAATTTTTAGATGAAAGAAAAATACCTTGCATTTTAAGATTCTTGGATAGAGTGATCCCTCGGAAGCATTTATCACAACAAAATTAAATGATCATTGCAGACTCGATTTGATTGAGTCTGTACATGAGGGATACTTCAAAAGAAACGAACGCAGCATTCCTTACGCCCACAAGCACCGGCTTGAGCAGTTCTCTTTTTTTTAACGCTTAAAAGTGCACTTTTCTTTTTTATAAACGTGTACAAATTATGATAAACGCAGTGTTCTGCAGTTTTTGTAGCACTGCTGATCCTTAACCCTTTTTTTCACGTAACATTCTACTTATGAAATCAAGACTTCAGAAAGTCGTTTTTATCTGGCTATATACCGTTTTTGAACTAATATTTAAACAACCTTTAGATACCAAAAAGGTATAAAAATTGTACCATAGTAAGTGGGACATAAAATTGCAAAAAGTGAAAAATTGAATTTTTTTCCACTATGTTTGTTTCCTCATGAGGCGGCCAAGAATTTTTATAACTTTATAAATTAAACACACTCTTCTCATATTTTTATTAGGGATTGGATTGACTGGAACAAGAAGTTTAATTACAGAGTCGCACCCGGTCCATGTAAACAAATCTTAACAGGTGAGACCGTTACAAAACAATATAAAGTTTGTATATTTCTCTTATTGCTAAAATAAAAAATTAAAAAATGTTATAATTATATTTTTTACATAATTATTATAACCCCGTCAAGTCGTTGTTCTATTGAGCAAGAAACTTCACACTCATTGCTCAGTACTGGTTGGTTCCAGAAACGAATTCAAAAGTAGGTCAATGAGCTAATAACCTCCTACACTAAAGTCAAAAGCCATGTTGCATAAAAAGACATGTTTGTAGCGTTCATGGGTCAATTTAAGATAATTTTGCATATAATTTTCAAAATAGCATAAAGAAATAGACGTCCCCAAATCTTGCATATTCGATCCATTAAACCTCCATGTTACTATCATATTTCAGAAGGAGGTTCAGAAGATGTCACTTATATTGGCAATGATTTAGTTGTGATGTCATCAGTAAGTTCATATTTTAAAATATATTTGTATATTTAAAAAGACAAATGTATCAATTTTGACTTGTATAAGATCGCTTTGTGTGCTACAATTTAGTCATTTTGCCTTGTATATGATTTCTTTCCGTGCTACAATTATATTCACTTGTATATGATCGCTGTCTGTGCAACAATTTAATCATTTTGCTTTGTATGTGACTGTTTTTTGTGCTATAATTTAATGATTTTAACTTGTATATGACCTGGCCGCTTTCCGTATACATTTACCCATTTTGACTTGTATTTGATCGCTTTTCGTGTGAAAGTTCAATTATTTTGACTTGTATATGATTGCTATCCGTGCTACAATTTAATTATTTGACTTGTATATGATCCCGTTCCGTGTGGCAATTCAAAAATTTTGACTTGTATATGATTGCTTTCCGTGTGACAGTTCAGTTATTTTTGCTTGTATATGATCCCCTTCTGTGTGACTTTTCAATTATTCTGACTTGTATATGATAGCTTTCCGTGCTAAAATTTAATTATTTTGACTTGTATATGACTGCTATCCGTGCTACAATCTAATTATTTTGACTTGTATATGATCCCTTTCCGTGTTACAATTCAAATAGTTTGACTTGTATATGATTGCTTTCCGTGCTGCAATTTAATCATTTTGACTTGTATATGATCGCTGTTCGTCCTACAATTTAATATTGATACGCCTTCCTCATTTTGATACCACAGTTACATTTTGTATCGAGGCATTGCAAACCATTTTTATATAAATATATTTTATGACAAAGGGTTTAGGACAGGAGAAGGTGAAGGCGTAATTAAAGCTCTTGATCTTAACACAAGCCAAGTTGTTAACATGACAATACGTGGAGCACCCGACAGAAAAGATTTCATGACTAAGCCACACGGAATATCTACCTGGAAAGACGACAGAGGTGTGTAGTAAATTTTTTCTATGAAAAAGTAAACTATAAGGTGTTTTCTGGTACTTTACACCTATAGTTATTTAGTTATTTTAAACAAAATTATTTATTTGAGATGCCAGGTATATATATTTGTTCAACTATTCATTTTTTACTTCTTAATCATCAGGGTTTCTTGTTTGTTTGTAAGTTTTTTTTGTTGTTTTTTTTTTTTTTTTTTTTTTTTAATATGAGGAGGTGAACAGAAAATGATGCGTTGATACCATTTCCGGTATTATATGTCATAAAGATAATCTGTATCAAACGTCTGTGGAGGGAACATATAACTAACCTTTTTATATATATTTCAAAATTAACATTTATAAATATATTAAGTCATTTGTAAAATAATATGTTATAGACCTCTTTAAAATTGATTTCGATCCATATATCACCATACCTTTTCTAAGTGTTCAGATACACAACAATCAAGACTAACAACTAGTTATAGAAATTGTTTATTTTTCTTCCTTTGTTTCACATTTGTCGGATATCTAAACAATGTATTTGCGTACTGCTTTTTTCCATCGTCATATGAATTGACAGCCTCCCCATTATTTTTCATATTTATTATCTTTAATATGGACAACTACCGCATTTTAATTTTCAGTTTGGCAATTGAACATATGATAAAAAAAAATTGTTATCATATTTTCAGAACTGTACGGAATAGCAAATACATTTGTGACATGCAGAACAATTTATTTCTAATACATACATATATTAATCAGTAGGAGTTGTATCAACTTATAAGCTATTTTGTCAACAAAATCTAAAACACGTTGCTAAACGCGTTAAAATTGTCCACATTATATCTTTACATTATATCTACATTATGGGCTAACAAGTTTTCACTGAACGCGTTAAAATGGTCCACATAAACTCTTTTTAACAGGGAGATTATGAGCGGTTTTGTCAAAGAGATATGCAACGCATTGTTGCTAAAGGCGTTATAATTGTACACATTAACCCTTTAATTGTTGGGCGATTATGAGATGTTTTGTCAAAGAGGAGCATTGTCGATGAAGGCGATGGAATGCTCAACATTATCTTTTTAGTACAGAGAGGTTATAAGCTATTTTGTCAAGAAGGGTTAGATATTAAGCACGTACATTTAACATTTAAGGAGTGAGGTGTACATAACTTTATTGATTGCAAGGAGGTTTTGAATTGTTTTGTCAAGGAGTTCTCAACATATTGTCGCTGAAGGTTTTTAAATGATTTTGTTACTACAGGGGAAATGTATTTATACGTTATAACACATCCGTTATCAGAAGACAGGATAGAAGTTTTCAAACTGAAAGAGAATAACATTTTAAAATATAAACGGACCATAACTGATCCACTCATGGTCAAGTATGTATTTACCTGATTGTGAGTTACATTTACTCTTAAACTTTGTTAACGGAATATCAAAGAGAGGATATTACTTAAGAACTAGTTTAATTCAGCTTGACTGTCAATTTCATTAATACATTTTCTTTATGAAAAAGTAGGGCAAACATGTGTAATTATACTGTAATTATAGATGTAGAAATCTTAAATATCACCTAAAATAAAAAGCGTCAAATGTGAAATACTTTTTGACAAAGGTAGCAAAATGTAAAGAAAGAGGTATTTTAAATTTATTTCTCACTGTTCTTGTTATTTTGAATGTTTGTTGTTTTTGTTGCTGTTGTTTTGTACTGAAAATATTTCAAAATATATTAGGATTGTGTGTATTGTCAGCACATCTAAATACACTTTGACTTCACATTCCCCTAAATTCTCATTTGTTATACAAGTCTAAGCCACTTTGTGAATAGATATACAACTTAAATAATTGTGCCATCAAGTAAATTTATCTGTTCATTAGAGAAAGCGTGTAAGGCATCTTTGTTAAGAATATGGTAAATAAATGCTTTTAGTCTCATTTAGATGATTTTGAAAAATGTAATGTAACATTGGGTCGGTCGTCTGTATAGTTGTCAAGTATTGTGAAAGTGGATTGTAAAGTGATTGAATTTTTCTCAGTATGAATGACCTGGTCGCAGTCGGACGAGACAAATTCTACATCACCAGGTTTATACATTATCGGGACAAACCACTGAATATGTTGGAAATAGTGACACAAAGGGCATGGGGAGCTTTACTTTACTTTGATGGCAAAAAAGAAAGACCTGTTGTACCCACTGGCCTTTCAATACCAAACGGAATCAACATTTCACCTGACCAAAAGTAAGTTTGCTTATAAAGCATGCAAAACTATTGACATGAATCAGAATTACTTATTGTTGTTTTTATGTTTTGTTTTTTTTTGTGAATTTTAATTTTTTTTTTTGTTGTTGTATTTTTTTTATTTATTTATTTATTATTATTTTTTTTTTTTTTTGGGGGGGGGTCATAATATCGTTTTATTTATAATTTATGTCATTTATTAATTATTCTTTAATGAATAACCTAACTACACTTGGCATTTCAGTGCTCTATAAAAACACATGCTTTTAACCGCATAGCTGGACATGACCACGCGACTGTGTACTAATTATAGTTATAAATGAATCGGACTATAACTTTTTGTTCGGAAGCAACCGTTGAATTGTGTAAAACACTTATAGAGCCTTAAAGAGCACACGAGGAATACACATGGACGCTGACTTACTTTAATGGGACATGTGTTTGATATATGCGAATTTCATTTTGATCATTTAAATTATGATATTGTCTGATTCAAATAGATTCCGTGTCAATTATGATTATTGTAAAGGCGATGCTCTGTTGTATTATCTTATACTGAATGGTTTACTGAACAGATGTGTCGCATGTATGTATTTAAACATATTTTAACTTCAGGATGATATATGTGTCAGAGTTTGGAACGAAGAAGCTACTTGGTTATCACAGATCTGAGGACAATCTCCTGACAAAAGCTTGGGTACTGATTTTGTAAAACATAAATCAAGACAGCATTGTTTGTTAACTTAACTACTGTAAAATAATTCCGCCTTACAAAGGATAAATTGAATCTCACACCAATGCCGCTTTTTCGACTCCGTAACAAATGGTATTACACGGTCGTGCATATCTTTTGGTGTAACCTCATTTGAGTTATACAAACATAGTGTAAAGAAGCTCTAAATGTTAGACTTACACTATAGGTGCATCAATGAAAATTGATTCTTTTTCACTTCAAACAGCCTTTATTTGGGATATTTGAAAAAATAGAATATCATAACCGTGTAGTTCATTACTGAATTTATTGAATTCGGAAGACTCGCATAATATAATTTTATAAAATAAATTCAGTATTGAACTTTCTCACATCATGAAAAGTAATATGAATGTTATTGCAGATATCAGAAAATTACTTGCTATATACTGAACAGTATTTAATTGTTTATCAAGCTGATTCGAGTAACTGTAAGTTACCAACATGTGTCACTGACTTCGAAAGTTATAATATAAAAATAAATTAGATTTACTAGAATCATCGTATAAAAGTTTTATGCATTGTTGTTTTTGAACGCGTCTCTGACACAAGACGTGCTATACATTTGTATATGGCATGATAAATAAGAGGTAAATACACGGCAGAGTAGGGCCGAAGGATGATTGGCCCGCTTACTGAACGTAAGTGCAGACACAGAGCTGCTTCCCTCATTGGTTAAACCTATGCTTTTTGTTTATTTTGCGTTTTAGTAAAGCTGTGTGTTCTAAAATTAACGCTCAGTTTAAATCACAAAATCAAGACTTCCTTACTAAAATACAATTTCCAAGTTATGTTTACCTTAAAAATGACGCTACATTTGTCCCTTTCTAATTGCTTATGTTCAGAGAACCAAATGTGATTGTGACTTTTTGTTCGCATGTTTGTCGTATTGGGTGGTCTTAAACATTCTTCTTCTTTTTTATTACATAAAATGCTTATAAATTAGTGCATGTTAGGGCCTTGATCTTAGCTTTATTTTATAAGATATACTTTCTTCATTACATTTTCAAACGATAATTGTTTAGTGTAAACTCCTGCTGACATTGTGTTCTCTCTAATGTCAAATTATTGCATATTGTGTTCTATTTAGTATATTTTGGATGAGAACTTAGTGTTATTAAATTTGTTATTTTGAGTACATTTCTGATAAGATATTAGTTTTACTTGTGATAAGATATTAGTTTGACTTTGCTCGTAGAAAAAGTTCTTTTAAAATTAAAACATTTAATCTGGATTATATAGAATGACAGGTTGATACAACTTGTGTTTTTTAGTCGTATGATGTAGATACAATGGTTGACAACATTGAGGTAGACCCAGATACAGGTGACTTATGGATAGGGTGTCATCCAATAGCATTAAGGGTTTTGGACTGGATGATGAGTGGATTTGGACTGACGCTGCCGTCTCAGGTTACACTCATGTTAGATCAAAAGTGAACTTACTAATATAATTAATATTAAAGAAGGTAATTGTCCCTTTTCGAAATATTAAAATAACTGGTATATGCTAAAGAGAAAACTTTACATAAATACTATACCGCAGTTTTCAATAAACAACTTAATTAGCCATCATATTAAAAAAGTGAGGTGCTTTGTGTCTTTCTGCTTTCCATTTTAACACCTGCCTACTTTTGTTTTTCGACATTGTGTCGTTTCGCATTTTGATAGATCCATATTACTTCAGGTATTGCGTTTCAAAATGGAAGACAACATGGTGTCGTCAGTAGAGGAGATCTATGCGGACGATGGCTCAGAATTATATGGTTCAACAGCGGCAACATATATAAAAGGCAAACTAGTGATTGGATCTATCACGGCAGAGACTGTCGTTTGCGAGGTCAACTATCTGTCACCTTCACCTACTTCAAATTAAAAGCATTAATTTTTTAATGTAAAGACACTCAATGATATATTGATCTTATCTTAACATTTGTGTTTTATACAGAAATTTACATTGAAATATGTAGGAAACATATTAACAATTTTGTTTTCTGCTGGAAATTTAAAAAAAAAAAAACCATCACCTTCATATCATTGATGATGGTTCTGTGTTTCTGTGCTATTTTCCAATGCTTGAATACTTTAGAGGTAATGGTTCAATATATTTTTATTCTATAGAGTGAACATAAGGAATGCTAATTTCAATACTTCAGTATATATATAGCAGTTTTTGTGTTCATTTTAAACAAGACAAATATTCGTATGGTACGTAAGTATAAAAGTTAATTCGGAATCGGACATATTATGGAGACATTGAACAAGTCTTTTCTTATATAATAATTGTTTTATTCGTATCTGTTTTGACACAAAAAATTAATCAGGTATGCTATAAATTTCATTTTGGGAATTTAGTTCTAACTGCAGAACGAGTAAGTTGATAAAAATTGTACAAACGCAATAAGCTAGCAATATACCGTTTATAACACACAAAAAGTGAAATAAATTGAACATCATTTGACTAAATTGAAAGGACCCACCAGGATGGTATGCTATCTAATTATCAGTTGTGCGGCGCGTTATAGGCGCTATATGTTGTTTGCATGTTTGGTTTTTCGGCGAACATTTTAGGAAAATTGATGTTGGCTCACTTCTGGTATTACAAATTTTAAAGTTACTCTAGGGATCAAATCCATCTTACCAGCTGGAGCAAAGCGATGCATAGAGACTTCATATATTCGAACCGATTTAGCCGTCCCAAAAGAGAAAACTGTGACAGCTATAATGATGCCTTAATCCTTGAAGGCAACTCCATTGCCACAAGGATGCGACACTTTATAAAAAAGATATACCACTTAAGGATCAACTTCATGAACAGGTTCTGCCTGCAACATGTTCATTTTTGCCGTTACAGGCGAATTTTCCCTTTTGTCAGTACAATTCTTAAATTTTTGAGATATTAGCAACACCATCAATAAAAATGTTTATTTACAGAACATACATTGACATACATGTAATTTGACTCAAACATTAGCATGAGTGCAAACTAAATTCTCCTCCTTCGAAGTTTTAAAAGACTTCTGATATTAATTTTAAGTGAAACTATCAATTTAACGAAATATATTTTGATAATAAAAGCACGGTTACACTATAGAGGTGTGGCTTTTCACAGACTAGACTGGCGAGTCATTAGCCATTATTCTTTATGAAATAAGCCCTGTTGTTCATTATGATTGAAAATTTGTTTAAATAAATAGTTACAATTTGCGAAGATTGTTTTTGTTTCTCTACTCTATCCTGAAAGTTCCTTTGTAAAGGACACTGGGATAGAAACGTTTCTTGGATAATAAGAAAACAACGTTTGTTTGTTAGTTGGCTTTACGGCACCAACACAATTAAGGTCATAAGGCACATAAACTGGAAAAATGATGCTGGAAAACCTCGGGTGTTACAAGGTTCAAGCAACACCAGTGGTGTCAAAACCAGCTTACCCTCTGGAGCTAGGAGATACATAGACTTCACTAAGTTGTACCATTTTAGTCGCCTAATACGATTACGCAGGGACAAATCATGGCTGCAATTCTGATGCCTCAACTTTTGTAAGCCATCCCTCACCCACAAGGGGGAGGGATCACGAAGTCGTGACACAGTTACTACAGATGTGTTGTTGCAGTTACTGAAGACTTTGAATAACAGCACAAGCAACTACAAGAGTTTATATTGTAAAACTGGCAAAGTGTATAATATCAATAGAAAGATATAGATTAAGAAAACGGGATCATTTTAAAATTTAATTGAATTCAAATGCAATATCATAGATTCATCTGCTTTACATTTGATATAATAAGATGAAAATACGTTCACCTTTTAGGTCTTCATTTTTTATTAGAATAGTGTTTAAGTTTTGACAAGCAGAATTTAAATATTCCTTATCAAGCTCAGATCAACTATTATCTATAATTGTTACTACAATATTTTACATGAGGAAGCAATACGTATTATTTTATACAATTGAAAATTCAGCACCTCTGTTGGCAAGAACCTGAACAATTACCAATTTGCACTTGCATGGTGGTTGATTATTAATTCTCGATTTCGTTTTGCCGCGCCTGAAGGGCCGTGTTGTCGTATCGGTAGGAAGCACAGATGACAGTTTAATAAAACGCCAATTTAAGGCACCAATACGCCAAATATAAGGCGATAAAAAATAACGTCGCGTTGCAGATAAATCTAAAACAGAGCACAGCAAAACGGAAAATATATATTTCTCATTCTAACACTCTTCGTGTCGTCCTTTCAACCGCGATAAAATAACAAAATAAAGAAATGGCAAAAATCAGCCACCATAATAATATCTGATAAACAGTGTCAATTATCACCGTGTTATGTTTGCGTATTCGTATATAAGAATTATAAACAAACCTTAAATGTTATTTTTATTAATTATTTTATTTTACATGTACTTTTCAACATGAAAACATATCATGTTTACAACGAAATGCGTATGCTGGGGTTACATATAGACAAATGACTTCTATGATATGAAATTTTGTTCAATACATGTTGAATTTGACATTCCAAAATCAAATAAATTCTTCTCTATTTCCTTGATGATAGGTATACATTTGGTCAGTGTTGTATAAATAATACTCAATCTGATTAAAATGTTGTTTTTTTCAAGAGAACATGCAAATTTCAAAGTAAAAACCGTAAAATCTATACTAAATATTAAGGCAACTACAATTTTTAATCACCAATGATAAAAATGAAAGAAATGTAAATTAAACTGTCGAGTAAACTGACACTATAAAAATATCTATATAAAATTGTCTGTATAAATACAATAGCATTACTTGTGTTTCAACACTTATCATTGTCCGGATGATAAAATAAATGTAGAAATGCGTAAACTTGTGTCTGTATTAACTCTTTAAATGACATTATGGACAACAAATTGTCTTTGTCTTCTCTTTGTATGTTCACAAAAGATGACGGGAAAATATAACTGGTACATCCAAAATGAATGTTATAAAAAAGCTGGCCAGACATTGTAAACATTATTTTTAAATCTCAAAATCTCTAATAAAAAAGTATTTGTTCAGCGTAAAAACAGGTACATGCCAAAATCATCAATAATATAAAATAGAAAAAAAACAGAATCTCTAAAAAAAGTCCAAAAAACAACAAAATTGAAAATGTTGCAGGTTCGGTTTGATTGAGCCTGTCCATGGGTGGAATTGGTAATTGCAAGTCACCAGTAGCGACATTGTAAAGCTTATATGCATTTAGCTTTTAGTTTTTTGACAGATATCCCACGTCACAGACAAGGGCCTGTGCATGAACAGTTCCGATGATCATCTTTCCAGCAGTGTATGAGGCAACAGTGGAAGACGTACATTCAGTTCCGTCGTTTTGGTAAATCATCTCTATTTCCGAAATCGTATTCTCACGCATCTTCAGACGAAGAACCTAAATACATAATAAATAAATATATAAATATAATCAGAAATAGGAATATTTAAAGGAAAGGTTTTATTTACAGAGTATGTTTGATTTATCAATTACATATTGTATTCCAGCAACTTTATCTATAATACAGACAGTCTTTAAGGTAATCTAACAATAAAGAAACAGAATAATATATGTTTTATCTATATTGTTGATACAAATATATCAACTAGGCAATGTTATTTAACTTTTTTGAGTCAATAGATACTTCAAGTGTAAAGGGTGTTTTAAAAAAATGAACTCATCTGTTAGATGTAGAACCGTTTGTCCCAGAGTTTTAAAGATATTCATCTGTTATCAAGACCTGTTTATGTCGTATCAACAATGGATGACATAATGAAATTGCCATTGTTTTTTATGAAGCAAATAGTCAAATTTGAAGTCGATGTTAAAAGCTATATTATTTATGTATACAATGTAATGCAATTTATAAATACAATGTCTTTCAAATTTTCTTAAGCTTTAAATGAAAAACAAATGAATGGATAGAACCAAAATGGCAAAAAGAGATGCTCGAAAGAAATGCTCGAGATGACAATCAAGAAAATGTTGGCTTACTTGACAAGGAGGGATAGATCCAAAATATGTGTCAATAGCTTTCCATAATATCGGATGGGATCCTATCCAAAGGTCCCCCGTATCGGGGTCAACATCAATATTGTCAGGGATGGTTCCAATATCATTACTCTACAAGAAAACATAGGAACATGGTAAATAAAGGTGCGAACTTTTTTTTGACGACAACTTAAATGTTTTGTTTATTTTTTTGTTAATGTACCTTTGTTGTTGCTTTTGTTGTTGTTGTTATTGCTATCTTAACATATACTTTTCAATTCTTTTAATGTATATTAATTATAATGGCAAATCTAAATGTTGGCTAACAGGAGTTTTGTATTGCAAAAATTTCAAGCACATTTATAAAATGTTACTATATTTGTGCTTACCCAGATTTCAACAAGATTGTTTGTAGAATCTCTACGGAATGCTCTTATTTTCTTAGCAGCGGCTTCTGCGAGGTATATTACTCTAGTAAAACATATAATACATTAAAATATGATATCATATGGATAGACAAAATATTCAAAATATTATATAAAATAAAGGCTAATAAGTGATTATTTACATTAATTTATCATTTCTGTTATTTTGTTTATCTATGTAACCTCGATTCTTTTTAAGTCATATGATGTCTAAGGTTAACTGTATAAGAGAGATAATATATGTCAGTTGGAACTATAATTCAAACTACAGTAGGTACTTGGATGACTTAAACAATCATGAATAAGCTAACCATTTCAAACTGTTGCAGAAGACTGAATTGAACCATTAATCAAATATAAGCTAGCTCGATAGCTTCATAAAATGACTAGGCGACAAATTAAATGCAATGCGCAATCAATTGCATTTTGTATTTATATGCCGTTAAAACTAATAATAGTTTGCTATGAGTAAATGTATTAGCATGTGTTGATTTGGACTAGCAGATCAACCGAAATTATACAAAAGATAAAGGAAAGATTATTATAAAGGTTTTACACTTACAATACATATCATCATCGTTATATCTATATTATTGTATTAAATTGTTGTTTTGAGTGATTTAATCATCTAGAACTGTAATATGATTACAATAAGATGCCTACTTTTTGTTTGGAGAGATGTTGATTCCGTTGGGAAGGTGAAAGCCAGATGCAACCTCCCGAGCCCTGTGTCCATCATAATAAAATATTGCACCGTTTTTCATGCCCATCAGCGTTTCCATCATATATCGGTTGTAATCACGAAATCTGGCAAAGTAAGTGATGTAGAACTTATCCTTTCCCACGGCCACAAGATCATTCATACTGGAAATAAATCAATTAAAAAATCAAAACATGCATTTATGGCATAAGTTTTAAAAGAGAAAGCAGTAATAAAGAATACCTATTCTAATGATCACGCAGAATTTAAATTAGGATCCACATTCCGAAAAAAATCAAAATTTTATCTTTTTTTATTTTATTAATTAAGTTATTTTGTAAATGCAATTTAAAACGCACGTTTTTCAAAGAGTTCAATTTTTGATATAAGAAGGTGTTATTCTGGCGAAATAAAGTATTCTTCAAACATCATTAAGAAAACAAATGCATTCTCATATCAGAAAGAATCATTTTGATTTTTTAAAAGCAATCCCTTTTATAACAGTGTAAAGATGGAACGATATTTAGCATATTCTTTTTACTTTATATGCAACATGTAAAACATGACATTGACATATACGTTCTCAGTTAATAAAATTTGATTACTTTTGTGAAATATTAAATATCAATAGACGTTAAAGTAAAGAAAACTGGGTGTTTTATCAATTTTACTTACAAGTCAAACTTTGGATCTTTTATCGTCTTGACATATCTCAACGTTAAGGATTTGAGGACCTCAAACACTTCTATATGATCTTCAGAGGGCGGATGGGTTACGACATAGAGGAATAACTGATCTAAATTAACAGAAAAACTGAAAAATTAGCATTCCAACAAGAACTTACGACAGGACTCACGATGTCACATGATGATTACAGGCAAGTTCTTCAAATATAAAATTTCAAACCTATAAAGATAGAAGAAAATGATTCATCAAGTGTCAATTTGCATTACATATGTGCTGAAAAGGACTAATGGTTTTTAACAGATTGAGTAAAAATCAAACAAAACCATTGCCAAAATTATGTGTTTTGAAAGTATCAGTATCTGATCACCATTGCCATGTGGAATGACGATTGAAAACTAAATCTATGATGAGGGCATAATTTCCCAAAAATGGTTGCAAATATTATATGAAACACAAGATCACTAAGGAAGAGCGGCACTAAATGCAGGCACCTACAAACACAGCAAAGTTACCTAGTTAGAATTGATCATTTTTACTTCAGAATTAAACATATTTATTTCCAAAAATACAATATACTTATATGTATACAGGCTCTTTCTCTTATTGGCGTCCGCGCCGAAGCGCGGCGCCTTATATGGAATGAAATCAGATTTTGTGAAATGGCGACAGCAACTTCTCGAGCATTTTATAGTTGTTCATAATAAAAGCCGATCACTTCGATCGATATGAGGGTGCTTGATTATTAATTAGTCGCGATATGTACAATGAATAGCGAACTGGAGAATTTCGCAATGCAAACATTTTCAAATTAAATAACCTTTTCCGTCAATAAATCGCGCTCTTCAGGGTATTTTTATTTATCATTTTGTAGTACACAGTGGATTATTGTGGTATGTTATTATAGAATGATGAGTTGATGACCTAAATATTCCGAAAATCTATTTATAGAGGGATGTACTCCTGTCGGTAATTCCCGGTCTCTCCTGGTCTATTTTGACTACCGGCGAATAGTACCACACGTTTATTGTCCGGTCTCTCCCGGTTTTGGAGTAGATGTTTGATATCGTTACAGAACAGAACAAATATTTTACAGATAAATAAGCTTTTTTTTCAAAATGAATGTTTGTCACTTAGTTTGGTTACAATAATTAATAAACACAGATCAACTCTCAAAATTATTGCTTATTATTATACATAAACATACAATTCGAAAAAAACAACAACAACACAAATCGCATGTTTTATTTTATCTATATGAGATAAAAACAATAAATATGTACAATAATTGAGGAAAAATGTACATTTTTATGGCATTAATATGACACTATCAACTTTGAAACATTTTATTTAATTTGTTATTCGTGTTTAGTAAAGATGCCGAGGAATTGTTCAAAGTTACAAATCAGATTTTATGAATTATTCAATTGATTGATAATTTAAGAAATGATAAAGAAAAATACACATGTACATGTATATGGTTTAAGAATAAACAATATTATATATTGAAAGATTAACCATAATTTACTGACTTTTTCCAGTTAAGTTTTGACTTGTAATCGTCGGTCATTATGACAATTGAATTCTTAAAATAATAGTAAACGTAAAAACTCAGTCAGTATTAAAATAGTGCATAAAACACAAAAAAGAAAAGAAAACAATATTCATAAAATCTGTATTTTTTTTTATTAAAAAAGATATTACAATTAGTGTATAATAAACATTTATGCTCAACATGATCATCATGGTAATATAACAAGTGTCATATTGTTACTAAGTGTGAACAGATACCTTAAGAGGGGGTCTGCGCTAATAGCGATAACATAATAAGGGACAATTACACAAGTATGGTGTTGATCATTTGTTACTCATATGGATTATAAATGATTGTATACATGTATATCCGTTGCTATTAATAATCACGATCATAAAGAAATAACAAGTAATATTCTAATTTCTAGCATGCCAATCAAATATATAAATAATGAACAATGTCTTTCGTTCCTTCATTCAGAATTAATATACAATTCTGGTAAAAACCAATGAACCATTGAACAGTTTATCATCATATATCTACTACTTCATCTGCACCTGCTGCATTTCTTGCTTGGACGCCCTTTGATGCTTTGCATCAATGCTTTTCTTGTACATTGTTTTTGGAATAGGAATAAAACGACAATTAAAATACAAGAATCTGCAATATCCTTAAAGAGATAGGTAAAGAAACATACCTGTATTAGGATCTCGCCATGTTGTAATACCGTGAGGAGACGACAAAAAGTCTTCCCTAGAAGGTATATTTGTCATGTTTAATGTAATCACCTTGTTACCATTGTTCAAATCCACAGCTTTCATTTTGCCTGGAGGACCGAGAAAGCCAAAACCCTAAATATACAATGCAATAAAATTACCAATTGAATGCAAAGTATATATTGAATTTTTGTCTTCATGATAATGTTCAAGAGAGCTATACATTTTTTGCTTTAGTTTAGTTTAAACATGTTAGATTTACTTTGCTTGTATTGAAATCATCACACGTTCCCTTTTGTCCAAAATTGACTCCGCTTTTTGGAATAAACCAGTCCTGACGGACATTTTAACCACGGAGCTACTCCTACCATTTTTTGTTTATATCTATTTTTTTTTCTCACTGTTAATTAAAAATTAAAGTAAATTACCGTCGACATTAACATGATTCCGTTTCCTATATGTGTTATATCCTCGGATCCGCCCTCTGTAAATGAACACAAATCAGTCAAAGATCATCTTCGATATAAGATTAATGATATTTGATAATAATAAACTACATTTATATTTAAACACTAAAGCATGTCCTTATGTCCATAAGGCAATACATATAAACTATTTTAATTTGTTTTTACTTTAAAATGTATAAATTTGTTTGTAGAAGGTTTTGCATATTCATATAATTATGTGTTTTGTAAAATTTTGGATTAATCTTGATTACCCTTTATGATGGTTTCGCAGGCACCCGGGTTTACATTCATAACATCTTTTGAAGACCAGTCCATCCAATCTCTACAATACAATTTTTTTCAAACATCGTTTGTTCACCAGAACATAAATTATACAGGTATAATGAAAGTTGATTTAAAAGAATTTTGATATTTCTGCATTATTGCCTAAATAATTATAGTAAAGTTTTTTTATATATAATTAGTGATTTAATTATAACATAAGCAAATGATGTATGTTTTATGTTGTAACATATAGTTTGAATGTTAAGATCAGCACTTTGAACATGATATAATACTGTTTGTAACTATTCCGTCAGTTATTCATGATAATTAAATCATTAGAATACAAAAGTTCAGCCATTTGTTTAATCGTTTCCTTTTAGAATCTAGGCAATAAATTTTGCTGTATAAAAAGATTCATCAGAAATACAATCGCATATATAGACTTGTTCACTATAACAGTTCTTCTTAATAACTGTAAAAACTCGTATATATATAATTTTACATTATGTATATTACTTTAGATCATGATCACAAATTAGATTTCACTTACCTGTAACTAAGAAATTGCTGGAAAACAAGTCCAAAGACAGCAACCATAATAAGTGAATACCACATTATTATACGAGTACCTCCCTTAACATATCCTTACATATTTAATAACGGCACATTGAAGAACTTGCGAGTAACTATGATATGAAAAATCAAAGAAATATAAAGATAAACAAAAAGTATTTGAAAAACATAAAAATTTTAATAGAAGTACCCCTATTTACCCTCTTGGAATATAACGTTCTGAACATCTTATATTTCTCCATATGCTGATATAGATAAATCGACCTTTTCTAATTTATCAAAAAATACATCTGTAAGATTCCGGAAAAAAACGTAATTTTTACACTTTTGATGAACTTTATACACATACCATGTGATTTTATACACTAACAAGCGTAATATATCACTCAATATGTCAACATTTGTTAGTAGGAAACACCTTTTCCTTATCAAGTTTATACTTCATTTCTCATATTTTACCTCTGTTTAGATATATCTGTCTAACTTTTTAGCGATATTCTTTCACTTTTGCAAGTTCCCTTGAGATTTGTACTTTATTGACTATTGTCCGATCGAAATATCGTATAAAAAGCTTGCGGTGGTTGATAAATGGCTAACGCTGATGATAAACACACATTTCGCATATTTATAGGGATAAATCAAGGTTGTTTATTCAAGGGTTTGTTAATTGAGGGTCGAACGGTTTTATCCTGCTGACTTAGATTAAAAGACAAACCTAATGTTTCTTGGAACGTTTTTCTTGTAGTTTCGGTGATTCAGTGTTGAAATATTACAGCGGCATCAATATATTTCCCGACTGAAAGTACATGTAGGTCGCCCAAAGTATTACATGTGTATCCTTTTTTGTTCTTTACCTTTTTTCCCCTTTTTTCAAGTTTTAAAACGCTTGTGACACATGTTTTTGTCTTATCGTTGCAGCTTACATTATCACCTGGATAACTATATTCTCCGCAAATGACCTACTGTTTATCTCATCAGTGGTGTGACAAATGACCAGTAGATTCAATGTCTGGGAGCTTTTGCCACGGAGAAATGTCGCCTCTGCCGTGGATCGAACCAGCGGCCGTTTATTACTTACCCGATGCTCTAAAAATTGAGCTGAGCATACAGAATTTACATACCTGTGCAGAATCCATAATTTCGGCATACGACATTTAAGGGTATAAAAGAGATTACTTTGAATCATATAATCTTTTAAAATATACTCGTGTCATTTGTAAAAGTCAATTCATGTAAACGTCGTTTATCTCATACCTGTTTAGGGAAACGTCTCAGTAGCTGCATTCAACACAAAAAATGGTCGAATATTTTAGGGACGGCACACACAAACTGCACAAATCATGCAGATAAGTACAGATAAGTACATCCGAAAAGTAATCCAGTGGCGAGTGCAGGACACGTAACCACTGACATTGTGTCTAATGGTCATTTGTTTCTTACTTATTACTTGTTAATTACCTAGGAAAGCCTGCTAAAGGTCTTGGCCGCCGCGACATGACCGAAAGTGTTTTAAAATATCTGATCCTTCGGGATCATTGATGCAGCACGTATTAAATGCTGAGAATTGAGTACCGCTCAAGCCGGTGCTAGGGGCGTGAGGGATGTTGCACTTATTCATTATCCCTCATGTACAGACTCAATCAAACCGAGTCTGCAATTCTTATGTACTTTTGTTGTGATTAATGCTTCTGAGGGATCACTTTGTTTCGAGATTTTTATACTTCACAACAGCAGGTGTCAAGTGCTGTGTAGCAGCTGTAAAAAATTGCCCCGTACTTCACTCCAGTGTTGTTATATTTTTCTGGTCCTTCGGGATCATTGATGCCAGCACTATTAAGTGTTGAGAATTGAGTACCTCTCAAGCCGGTGCTAGGGGCCGTGAGGGATGTTGCACTTATTCATTATCCCTCATGTACAGACTCAATCAAACCGAGTCTGCAATTCTTATCTTATTTTGTTGTGATTTATGCTTCCGATGGATCACTTGGTTTCCAGATTTGTTTTACCAAAAACACAGTCAGCATCTTAATTATCACCTGTCGTATTGTAAAAAAATCTCTGGTAAACTGAAGCTCAACTTACCGGGAAGAAATATACTTTGGAAACAATATAACAATGTATCAGTTCTTGATGGTTGAAAGGAAGTTTGTTTTCGTTGGCCACTAAGCTCTGTAGCAGAAAACATCTGATAAGTAATCCAGGGGCGAGTCCGGGACACGTGACCACTGATATTGTGTCTAATGGTCATTTGTTTCTGACTTATTACTTGTTAATTACCTAGGAAAGCCTGCTAAAGGTCTTGGCCGCCGCGACATGACCGAAAGTGTTTTAAAATCGGCATAAAAATAGAAAAAAAATACACTTAAAGAGTTAGCCATAGCGTGGTCAACCAGTTCGAACGAGCAAACTAGTACTGATCCATCTTGAAATCAACACTTGATTGTCGGTCGTTTTTGTAAAAGGCAGTATGTCCATTGGTATGCAGTAATAATAAAATCGTTATTTACAAAACACATTAATGACATGATACAACTATGATATACATGTAACCAACCTGTCTATTACACGGTCAATTCTTATGCACAATTTACATATCTAACTTACAATTTATGTGCATCTGTTTATAGTGAAGCAATGACCCTGTGGACTGTGTAAGGGGAAATTCATAAGCAAAATCATGATTGATTGAAAACGGGCAAATTTATTTTGCCGAAAACAACATAATTACATACATATAAAATAATTTTCCCATATCTGGGTGAACAAATACCGCCATTATCGTTGATACGTGCATATTGTTTTTTTTATAAAAACTTTAAAAACATATCAGAACATATTTCCATGACTGTAGGATTGGTGACTTTATAAGATTTCCACACCTAATCGTGCTTTAGACCTACATTGATTATAACTTGGTGACTAATGGCGTATTCCGCATCAAGAAAATACATGCATATAAACTTATATCTGTCCAAAAATAAAATGTGAAAAGTCACGTAAAATTTTATCTGACAAAAGAATTTCCAACACTAAAATTCAAAACGAAATGAAAGTGGATTGCATCTTTTATCCAAATATTTATCATGTCGCTGTCCTTTTTAGTCATGAATACATGCAATTTCGATTCTCGTTGACAAATGTAATTTAGTAATATCTATGAAGTGGCTGATGTCATTTTTATAGCTTAAAATCGCATAGATTTCACACGGCATTGGGCTGATACTTTTACGTGTTGTATTTTAGGTTTGCTGAAAGTATTACTCGACGGAAGCTGAAATGTCATTTCAAGCACGTCAATGTTGATGACTGAATAACGACTAAGTCGGTGCTAGGGGGCTTGAGAGAGGTGTTCTTGTATTATTACATTTTCTCACATGAACAGATTCAATTAAACCTAGTCTGCAATTTTCATATAATATAGTTGTTTTCTTCATTGCTTTCCGAGAGATCAAATATTTTCCAGATTTATTGATTTTGTGATTGTGATATTTAAATTGTTATGTTTAAATGTCAGAAAGAAATCATTTAAAACAAGATTTTGGATTGTATTGATGAGAAATGTGTTAAACAAGTTTTCAATTGTTAGAATCATATTCGACTGTACTTAATTGTATAGATTTCTGTTATGTATGGGTTATACACATGTATATGCTTAAACATATTTTCACTCACCACCTGTTCATGGGAATGTAGCTTTGGTATTTAATAAAGGTATCAGGAAACGTCCATTAACAATAACAGGTGATATAAAATAAGAAAGGGAAATACTGTCATAATTGGTAAAAAGCTGAAAGAGAACTTAAAAAAAGATCTACACACTTTCTATTGCAGATTATCTTCTTGTCCTTTATTTTCTGACAAACTCACAAGTACTTGAAATACTGTGTATAAATGTAAATTCGTTTGTATTAATCATCTGCGTTTGAATGTTGAATTTGAGTTCTGTTAGTCGTTTCATTTGGTTAGGTATCCGTGATCGAATCCTTAAAGTTACTTCCAAACGCTATATTTCTATCACAGTGTATTTTATTCATGCAGCATGGCAAACGTTTTTTTTTATGATACCATCATTATTCTTAATACAGAGTCTGATATTTGTGTCACTCTACAGTTATGTAAATAATCGTTAAAGTGTTTTAAAACATAACAAGAAAAACGGATTTATAGGTAAATGGCATTTATACAACAAAGCGGGATTTTTTTTCAAGTGCACTGATCTATAAAGGCAGGTTTATAACACAATAAATAATTACGTTGTTAGAATGTGTTAGCAGACAAAGCATCTTATAATGTAAGCAGACAAAGCATCTTATAATGAAACAAATATATATGGATGTTTTTGCAAGTGTGAGAAATATGATCGATATTTATCGTATAAAATATAATAAATTGTTCCAGAACAAATAATTAATTCATATAAATGTTCATACAAAAACACTCAGAATTTATCAACATTTCATTCAAGCAATTATTTATAAGAATGTCAAATGGTTTATTTCTATTAATTTTATCAGTATCTAAAATACTTATTTACTTGTGGAAAATGTGTCAATTGTAGACCAATACATTTTAAAGTGTGACATGAGGAATATTTTTTTGGTATCACCTGTTCTAAAATACAGACTGAAGTATTTAGGGTTCTCATATACAAGGTCCGAGAAATTATATTGTTACAGGTAACCGTAGAAACAATTATAATAGAAGGGATACATCAGCTTATCTCACACATATCGGAGTGATTGTCGCATAACACTTATTGCAAACATTGAAACATTATATGCCTATTTTTTTATCTTATATCATTTAACAATTATTAAATGTAATGGAAGTATTTCGTTTTTGTAATTATCTCAGACTGTAAAGTCATGTATTGCGTTGCGTAGAACGTATGATTTTCTTCTAAACATTACCTTTCTTATATGTTTCATTGTTTTTCTTTCATATTCCAACTAAAGGGAGGGTGTGGTGCAAAATATATTCATGCACCTTATAGATTAAGCCTTTTGTGATATAAAAAAGAAAACAAATAGACTCATGGTAACTATCTTATTTATTTTTTACTAATTAGATACACGATTCTCTGATACATTTAGTTTTACATCAAGACAGTGCATTTTTTTAAATACTTTTTTGAAACTGCAATGTTCATGAACTGCCTTCCACAAAATTCGATCTGTCAAATTTTGAATGTTGTCAAAATGTTAGATGCTGGATTTCTGTAATCAGCCTGAGAGATAATTCACATCACACACCATCAGCTGGTCTCTCACCGTTCCAATGACAAGTTTTCCGTTCGCATAAGTGGCGGCCGTAGATGCTACAAGTTCAGAACCATCGTCCGAGTACATCTCCTCTATCTCAGAAACCATGTTGTCACGCATTTTAAATCGGAGCACCTAGAAATGAATTGTAACAAACAGTGCCTTAAAAGATATTAATTTTAATTGGTTAATCTGCGTTCACAATGTGAAAAGTTTGTTTAAATCAGTAAGAAACTTGGCCATACAGCTGCTCAGCAATCTTCCGCGCTATTTTTGCATTTAGTAGGATTACCGTTATAGTGTTCTACCATTTGTATGAAAGGTAAAAAATAACATTTTGTTCACGTTTTGCTACTTTTATCGCTAATGTTTCACATTCAGCGCTTTTCGTTAGGTAAAAGGCATCTATTAGGTTACGCACGTTGCCTTTGCTGCATAGAGAAATAATGAAATTGTTCACTTCTGATGTTTAACTAGTCTTTAAATAACAACATATCATATGGGTCTATATGACAATGGGGAAATTGTATAGAATACCTGAGATGGAAAAGCAAATCCAAAGAAATTTAAAACGCTGTCTGTAATCTTATACGCTATTGGATGAGAAGCTATATAAAGGTCTCCAGTAGAAGAATCAACATCAATATTGTCCAGCATTGTGTTCGCATACACTTCCTAGAAAATATCGAAACAAATTATGCTGTCTACTGACAAGAAATATAAGACACAAAATAAATCTGGGAAAAAAATGTTTGTTTATTTCACTGTTTTTTTTACGCCGCTTTTTATATGTTTTGTTCATTCTTCGGCAGTCAGTCAACCTAATCGACTTTCCTTAAAACTTAATAGAAATAAAGCATTTCTTTACAGATGATCAACCTCTGATTTCATGCAATTTCTGATTCAGCGGTGTAAAACAAATGAACATCAGACTCGAAGAGGGAGATCAGATGTCATTGAGGCATTTCGAATAAGTTCCTGCGACCCCTGCTCTCCTGATCGAGCTATGATGGAGAACCACGAGAATAATAAAGATAAAGACAACTTCTTGCTACAAATAGCAGGCAACTTTTTACTGAGTCTGTTAATTAGAAACAATGCTATCAGTTTTGCTATATTGCTACGAAATTATTCATTCTTTGTGGTAAGATAAGCTTTCAATACAGATGAATTCATTTTATAATAAGATATTTATGATATAATAAGACTAGGTGACAATAACGATGTAAACCATGCTTACCCAAGATTTGTGCAAATTGTTTGTGTTGTCCCTGCTATATCCGAGCAATTTCTTTGTGTTGAATTCAGCTACATAGACGGTTCTGTAAAATAAAGAATGGGATAAACAATATATAAAATTATCAACTATAAACACGATTTATATTGTTTATCATCCTTTTTATAAATGGCACAAGTTCACCTTAAGAGTTACATAATTCATTTTTATATTTTTAATAGCATTATAAAAATACCTAAAAATTATATAGTCCAAATTATGGAATTCAGAAGTATGAAAATACAGTATGCCCGTTTAACTAACATCGAATCAGTAATCAATAGGTCACTGGTTTGATCCTCGGGCAAGACGAATGACAATGGATCTCAGACAATGAGTCAAATGCTCACTTGTTTTTCAACGTTAATTCAGAAGTCATGGTGGATAAGATGTCAGTCATTGCGGAGACATTAGTCTGAGGGATCGACCGCCTATATACGACATGAACGTGTATCGATTTCGGCGTAATAAACTTAAAGAAAAAACTGATGAAGTATACACATAATTATAATCATATTTACGACTTACTGTCCATCAGGCGATATATTGATACCATTCGGCATTTCTAGATCACCGACCACCTGGCGAGCTTTCTTCCCATCAAAATACAAGACTCCACCTGTCTTCATTCGAAGCATCATCTCTGCATACTCCATGTATGTATCCCGACTTTGCCAAAACTTGGTGATATAGAACTTGTCCTTTCCAACAGCAACAAGATTGTTCATACTAAAATGCATAATATCCTGTTACATTACTGCACACAAATGTACAATTTATTCAGACAAAATTAGAATGGTACTACAAGCACAGTAATAAAGATTATTTTTAAAGCACGGTTAAAGAATAAGGATATCAGACCCTAAAGGACATTGATAGGAACTGGCTTTTCATTTCATTCATTCTTTCTAGATGGTGTACGATATCTGTATTTCAAACACATGTATAATCAAATTTCGTAGTCTTAAACCTTTTTTTATTGTTTGTTTGTAGCCATAATGTCAATATCCATCGTATATTTGTTGAATTATTTTCGTATAAGAAATATAGTTTTAGTAGAAATAATATACGTTTATTTTTTCCATATTATAGCTTAGATTACACAAAATGAATTTAAAATGACTGCATTGTGTTTTGTTCACATGGAAACGAAGCAAAAGCCTTTTACATGGCACATAGTAATATCATTATTTTGGAAAACGAGACTTCGCAATAAATTTTAGGGCTTACAAAGTAAATAAAGGGTCTGAGATTGTCCGAATATAAGTGAGTTCCGTCGTGCTGGTCATCTCAAACACTTCCACTCTGTCTTCTTTAGATGGGTGTGTCAGTGTATACAGGTACATCTTTCCTGTAAAATAAAGATTTCAGAATACATGCATAACAATTACTTACTTAGTTTCAAATGATTTTCAGGTCTATTTCTACTAAATCCGATTCAAAAGAATTTATCAGATTAAAATATAATATGAACTTATTTAAGGCTATAGCTTTTTAGCATTTCTATGTAAAATAGAGAGTTATATAGACACTCTAAAGAACGCACAAAACGTCAAAATTGAAATTGTTTCAGGCTCGGTTTGATTGAGCATGTTCATGGACGGTAATACCGTTCACACCCCTTTGCACCGGCTAAAGCAGTATTCAACATTTAACAGTGAAAAGTATAACAGTGTCAAGACATTTCAAAATTACAAACAGATCTTTAAAAAAAAAAGCAGTATTTTTTATATTTTTATATTTGGTTTGGCTATTTCCAGTTTTCTATGTATTATGTTTACAGTTTTAAAGTGATTACACAGAGCGTATGCTGATTTGTATTTCATTCCTGAATAGTAAAAACCTTTTTGTGATATTTTCTACTTTTGGTTGATATACACGAATGTTAAGTTTTGAATATATTGAATGTAGCGTGCGAGAATGAATTATATTGTAAAAAAACATTTCAACTGCATTTTTCAATAACCGAAAATTATAGCATACTTAAGAATGTAATTATTACATGAAGCGATTTCATTAACATTGAGTAACGGAAGTTAACATGAAAAAATATTTGTAATTAACGTGTTAAAACTTTGAACCTTCTCCACTCATTTATTGCATTTACAATTTATTCATTGAGGTCTTAGACATTTTAAGTACTTATTGTTTTTAATTTTTTTTTTTTTTTTTTTTTTTTTTTTTTGTTTTTTGTTGTTTTTTTTTTAACAGACGGTTCCTGTTGTACAAGAACATTACTAGAATATATGATGATCAAGACATTGCGTTCACGCAATATCTTCCTTTTATATATTTAAAAATTATGACAGTTCAATGCCTTCAAAAAGATATTCTGTAAATGACAAACTTTAATTTCTTATTTCAAGCTACATTTAGCATCCCAGATTTTCAAAATGAAAGTACAAAATGTTGATATACTAATGTCTCAACAAGACAAGATTTTAATAACGTAGAGCTATAAAGGTTTCGTTCCGCGAACAATCACAATACGATTACTACGTATTAACAACTTATAAACTTTATAAGTAACAGTTTATTTCACGATGCAAATTTGGTTCAAAGACGTAAGACATTTAAGGGGATGACCTGTTGGGTAAAACGGATATGCCATTGCTGTTTTACGCTTTGGGGTTGGCGTGTATTATTACCATTTTCACGTACATATTACTACAAGTCATGTCGTTTAAAAATGTCACCTGCTCATGGTATAATTTACGAAGATCTTGAATATTGCCAAAACAGCAAAATTATATATCAATTACATAAAACATCACTTGTGAATAAACAAAAAAGTAATGCAACTATTCTTTTTCCTGACCTGATTTGGGGTCTCTCCAGTACGTTATACCATGGATACCAGCAAGGAATTCTTCTCTGTTAGGTTCATTTCGTATATTCATAGTGATCACTTCGCTCGTATTCAAATTAAGACTCTTTATCTTACCAGTCTTTGCTCCAAATTCAAATCCCTGAGAAAACAATTTCATTTGTAAAACATTCACATTCCTTCTGTAAGACCATTTTAACTATAACTCGAAATTTGAAGAAAACAGCATTTTACTTTTTAAAAAGAGATAAGTCTGCCTGTCAAAGTAATTCTTTTATTACACAATACCTCTTCAGTAAAATTTATTGCGATTGGATTATACTATAAGGTAATAACATGAAGTGCAGAGTCATTTAGAGACTTCAAGATTGAACTCATGTATCTTAAACAATACTTACCAATTGTAACATTAATGTAAATAATATTCGGTCTTTTATAACAGTAAAGGAGCACACAACATTTTAACACAAAAAAGATATATATATCTTCTGTAATTAAAAAGAAATTATTATAACTCACGGCTGAAATCATTATTATGCCACCGCCAATGTGTATAACATCTTCCGAACCACCGCCTGTAAAATATAAAAATATGATTTATAATGTATTGCTTGGCTATTTAATGTATTGTTCTACAGTTAAATTGCATACAAAGAAAAACAAAGTCGAAGAACCTTAACACTTAAATTCAATTTTCAAGTTACTAACATATTAGTTAATTTTCATTTCGTGCTAAATTTCACTACAAAAAATATTAGAATGAAAAAATATCTAATTTATCATGTCAATACACTACACGTTTGTAACGTTGATTTGAATTGGGCATTTGTATATATTTCATATATACACCTATTTCATATGTACACAGCTACTGTAAATTCGTGTATTATTATTTTATTTTAATCAATGTAGCCTTTTTTCCACAATGATGAATTAGACTTTAGGACTTTTGACAAGGTGAATCTTCTTGTACAAGTGGTAGAACGGCAATATTGCCCTTGCCTAGCAGCTCTATTAAATATATGTATTGTGTCATCCTTATAGCTTTTTGAGACTTAAAGTTTTATGGCTAACATTAATAAAAGGACTTCAGCAAATTTTACTTTTATATAATAGGTTTCTATAAAAAAAAAACTCCAATCCATGTTCTTGCAAAGTTGAATTAGATAGATATACAGAATGACTGTTTACAGTACTAGTATATTGAAAAAGAAATTCAAAAGTTTTTTCTGTCACGTATAGCAATGTTCTCTAAAGTGGAAAGACACTATGTGGCATTCACAGTGTAGGTTTAAATCAAAACTAATATAACTTTACAAAGTGTTCCACGTACCTTCTAATGCATATCGACAAGGACCCGGTTGAACTTTATAAATGACCTTCACATTCCAGTCTAGCCAATCTCTGAAAGGAAAGAATCGATGACGAAAGTTTTATATTTCATTATAATTATTATAATATAATACAATATAAGAAATCTTAATAAATATTATAATTGATGAATAACATAAACATTTATGAATCTATATAAGAATAATTTTGTTCTTGACAATAATTTTGTTCTATCAAATAAAATAATAAAATCAAATTTTAACTTGAATATAAGGAAGTAAATTATTCACCTGTATTCTAAGAAATAATAAAATCCTGTCCCAAGCAATGCAAGCCATAGCGAGCTCGCAAACATTTTTCAAAGAAATAATATGATATGTTATGAAATTAAATTGATATTAACTTCACACCGTAAAATAAATCTAACAATACAATGAACAAGTCCTGGCATATGTTACAATTTAATCATTACATTAAACTAGAGTTCATGACCAATAACACTGAAAGGTACCATATTGACGACCTAGTTCTGTCAAATGTGAAAGGTGGTTACCGCAATGCTCTTCAGAGTTACTGCAAATATACCACTTAATTTTCTCAAAAATCTGCTCATTCAAAGATAAAAAAATTGATCAATTGACTTCAGGTTTTGTGATTAAAAAACACGTGTATGTAGTAAAATATTTAAAGGAATTATTTAAAAGATTAACATTTTAATATACTCAATTAGGAAATTTCTTTCAAAATATTTTACCCTTGTACCCCACAACACAAGTTGGCTTTAAACTTTGTTCAAATAGTTTATTCAACATGTTTGAAACGTACATTATCAGGATTTTGACGTTTTTACATAAGTGTATAAATTTCAAGCATGACACGGAAAAACAGTTAAAGGATAAGAATGTTTTTTAAAAACAACTAAATCCGAATTTTTTAAAATCCAAAAATAATTTTTAGATTGCGTATTTTTTTTAAAAAAATTTGTAATCATTGCTTACGTCGGGTTTGCCCCTTTTTGCTGTTTATGTTTTTTGTCCGTAAGATACTGTTTGAAAGAAATGAGGATGATATTTTTTTTAAACTTAAAAAATCCCCTTTGGGGTTTTTTTAAAAGCAGATTTTTTTCAGAAATGAAAAAAAAATTTCCTTTTCAGCAAAGGCAAAAATTTTTTTTGTTTATCCGTACCCCTCCGGGGTTTGTTGTGGGTTGCATTCAATGATTGTTCTCCTCTGTTGATCTATTTTTTTCTTTTATTTTTTTATAACGTTTATAAATGATTTTGGGAAAATTTTTAGAGATGATTATACGTTTGAAGGAATGTAGTGCTGAAATCTGCAAACTGTTTGTCATAAAGGAGCAAAGTGTAAAGTAAAGAAAGTAGCATTTTGACGCCCCGTGCAAAAATACTGAATCATTTTTATCTGTACTAATTGACAAGAAAACAACAGAAACAAAAGAATGGCTTTAGGTAATTCGCAAATGGCATTTCTTTGAAGTGTAATTAGACTACAAAAACGAAAGATTTTGAGAAATATAAATAAAATAATGTTTTACCAATATTGTTTTTACGAAAACAAGTAAACATTTCTGGAAGTAAGACATAACTCTTAAAGCAATGAAACACCAACAAATATATAGGTTACAGACTGGCTATGATGAACAATGTTCGTGGTGTTCAAAAAACGGAAAAAAAAGCAACATCTTACATGCCCCAATATAACAAAACAAGCTAGTAATCAGTTTTCAGTTCCCATACATTTTCAAGTGTGACCCCCCCCCCCCCCCCCCAAAAAAAAAAGGAAGTTACGAAAGGTTTTAGACTGGTGTAACTCTCTTGGAACGGTTTTAGGAAACTACCCGGCCTTAAAACTGAAATATTTTTGGGAAAAGGGGGTAAAAAATGAAAAAAAAAAAAAAAAACAAAACCAAAATCTTTAAAAAAAGTTAGAGGGCATTTTCTATTTTCTTTATCCGTCAATAAATTAAAGCAGCTAAGAAGATCCCCATGACTAAAAATCAATTTATAAAGTGGGAAGGGCATTCAGCCTTTAAAACAAAATTACCAGGGAATTTGCCAAAACAGATCTTCGGGTCCGAACACTTGTCTGCACTTTTCCGCCCCCCGGGTGCCCTCCATTTAAAAAGGAAGAATTTAAATTTAAAAAAACCCAATTTGAAGTACTATTTTTAAGTAATTTTTCCCTTTATTTTTCTTTGTGTATTGAATTTTTTAGGACCAATTTAATTGTTTACGAATAGATGTTTTTATCAAAAACAGTTAAAAAAGTTACAAAATTCGATGCTTTACTTTTTGGGGGGGAGGGTGGGGATTGACAATACGTTAGGAAAAAAATTTTTTTAAATTTGGGGACATTATATAAATTTAAATGGAATGTTTAATTTGGTTTTGCATGTAGCATTTAAAAGAAACACTTATTTTTTGGGGAAAATTTTTGGTTTTGCTTGATGCTTTATCTAGTTTATATATTTAAAAAAAACAAGAAGCAAAAAGAAAAAAAATTTTTACAGGTTTTGGAAAAGGGTTTAAAATTAAAAAAATTCTCACCCTCTAATCCATCAAAAGAAATAATATCTTTTTTTATCTTCTTTATTTTTTACGGGGATTTTGAGTAAATATGGGAGCAGCGTTTTTTGCAATTGTATTTTAGGCCCTTGGGGTAGTACTAAAACAATTTTCAGGTATGTTTTTTTATTTTTTTTATTTTTGGTTTTAAAAAATTCAATTTTTTAAAATTAAATTTTAAAGGAAAAATTTTAAAACTATAATGTTTCCCCTTTTTTTTTTTTAATTTTTTTGCTTTTTAATTGGGAAAAAGTGTTTTTTTACGTGTAAGGTTTTTTCTTTTACCCCGGTAAAATTACGTTCTTCTAAAACTGAAAATTATCGTACGTGTCTAAAAAAAGAAACTGATTTTGGGCGAGTAGGGCTTAAACCCATGCCCCCGGTTGGTTTAAAAAATTAAACCCCCAAAAACCCGGCTGAAAAATTATATGTTTTACATTTAACAATTTAAAAGTTTTTTTTTTTG